CATTTCTCTAATAATTAGCTGTTGAGCATCTTTTCATGTGCCTGTTGGCCATTGGTATGTATTCCTTTGAGAAATGTCTATTAATGTCTTCTGCTCATTTTTTGATTAGACTTTTTTTTAGATTTTTTTTTTGATACTGAGTTATATGAGCTGTCTGTATTTTTTGGAAATTGTACCCTTGTTGTTCACATTGCAAATATTTTCTCCCAGTCTGTAGGTTGTCTTTTCATTTTGTTTATGGTTTCCTTTGCTGTGCAAAAGCTTGTAAGTTTAATTAGGTTCCATTTGTCTATTTTTGCTTTCATTTCTTTTGCCTTGGGAGACTGAGCTGAGAAAATATCACTATGATTTATGTCTGAGAATGTTTTGCTTATATTCCCTTCTAGGAGTTTTAAGTGTCATGTCTTATACTTAGCCCTTTAAGCCACTTTGAGTTTATTTTTGTGTATGATGTGGGGGAGTGTTCTAACTTCACTGATTTACATGGAGCTGTCCAGTTTTTCCAAAACCACTTGCTGAAGAAACTGTTTTTCTCCATTTTACATTCTTGCCTCCTTTGTAGAAGATTAATTGACCATAGGTCCGTGGGTTTGTTTCTGGGCTCTCTGTTCCAGTCCATTGTCTAAGACTATACTTCTAAAGGGCAGAGACGATTTCTTCCGGATTTTCTATGGGCTGTCTCTGCCTGCACAGTGCCAGGCATATAGAATGTGTTCAGTAAATATGTAGTGGGGGTATTGTGGTGGATGGCAAAATTCTAACTTGAATCCTGGTCTTGGCTATTCCATTATGGAAATGATTTAATATCTCTGGGTCTCAGTTTCTTCACTGGTAGAAATGAAGAGTTAGCCATTGAGTACATGGTCTGGAGCACATGATACCATTTGCTGGATCTCAGAATATGATCTGCAGGAGATTTTCAGTCAAACATAACCAAACAAACATAAAAACAAACAAACAAATAAACCAGGTTTTCTGAAGTAGCTGGCATCTGTGAGCTAGTTGGCCAGCAGGATCTGACATGACCATTATGTACCTGAACAGCCTGGGTCTCCCATGTACAAGATGGGAATCAAGTTATTCAAGTCTGATTTCAATAAAAGTCAGGGAGAAAGTCACGAAGGCATGGTACTGTCAAGGAGTGCTGCCACACTAAAACAGGTGTGGTGAAAGCTTATGAGTCATATTTTAAAGATCATGATTTACCACTATACTTAATGAAAATTAAGGTGACCTGTATGCCACATAGAATTTTCTGATCCCATGGACCGTTACTGAAAATATTGGTATAGGAGCAGTCTGCTCGAGCAGGGAAGAGTATCTTGACACTGACATTGTTTAGAATTGCCAGTAGATGGTAATGAAACTTTTAGGTGGATCTTATTCTTCTTTTTGAATTCTCTTTAGATATTCCTTATTGCATCAGGGGCCAGGTGCCCCCTGCCCCTAGTTCGCCATATTTTGAAAATATTTGAGTGCCCTTGGATGAGATCTGTTTAGTTTCTTACAGTTGGAACATCCCTTTTTTTGTTTTAATTGAAATATAATTGATTTACAATGTTGTATTAGTTTCTGGTGTACAGCAAAGGGATTCAGCTTTATATATATATTATGTTTCATATTCTTTTCCATTATGGTTTACTATAAGATATTGAATATAGTTCCCTGTGCTATATAGTAGGACCTTGTTGTTTATCTATTTTATATATAGTAGTTAGTATCTGCTAATCCCAAACCTCTAATTTATCCCCCACCCTTTCCTTTTAGTAACTGTAAGTTTATTTTCTATGTCTGTGAATCTGTTTCTGTTTTATAAATAAGTTCATTTGCATCATATCTTGGATTTCACATATAAATGATATCATATGATATTTATCTTTCTCTGTCTGACTTACTTCCCTTAGTAGGATAATCTCTAGGTCCATCCATGTTGCTGTAAATGGCATTGTTTCATTCTTCTACGGCTGAGTAGAATTCCATTGTGTAAATATACTACATCTTCTTTATCCAGTCACCTGTCAATGGACATTTAGGTTGTTTCCATGTCTTGGTCATTGTAAATAGTGCTGCTATGAACATTGGAATGCATGTATCTTTTCAAATTAGAGTTTTCTCTGGATATATGCCAAGGATTGGGGTTGCTGGATCATATGGCAACTCTATTTTCAGTTTTTAAAGGAACCTCCATACAGTTTTCCATAGTAGCTGCACCAATTTACATTCCCACCAACAGTGTAGGAGGGTTCCCTTTTCTCCACACCTTCTCCAACATTTATTATTTGTAGACTTTTTAATGATGGCCATTCTGACCGTTATGAGGTGATATCTCATTGTAGTTTTGATTTTCGTTTCTCTAATAATTTGTCATGTTGAGCATCTTTTCATGTGCCTATTGGCCATGTGGATGTCTTTTTTGGAGGAGTGTCTGTTTAGATCTCCTGCCCATTTTTTGATTGGGTTGTTTGTGTTTTTAAACATCCTTCTCATCAGTAAGTTCTTAGGACAAATTTCATTCTCTTCAAATGAAAAAGTAGTCCTTCCCTATCAACCTCATAGTTATTATTCCATGTTTTTAAATCTCCTTGACTGAGGTTTAATTAATATGCAGGAAACTATGTCCATTTAAAGTGTAAAACTTGATGGGTTTTGTTATATGTATACACCGATGAACCAGCCATTACAATCCAGATACAGAACATTTCCATCACTCCAGAAATTTCTTCTGGGCAGTCAGTCCATCCTGCTCTCTGCCCTTAGCCCTAGGCAACCACTGGGTTGTTTTTTGTCAGCGTAGTCATTTGCATTCTCTAGATGGTATACTGGAATCATAGAGCATGTAGTATCTTGTGTCTGCTTTTTCTCACCCAGCATAATGATTCTGAGATTCATCTGTGTTGTTATGTGTATCAGCATTTCATTCCCTGCCATCCCATTGTGTGAATATACTGCTGCCGTTTGTGTAT